AAAATGTTTACCATCTTTTTCAAATGATACGCCTGGTAAAATCTTGCCACATTCAGCACATTTAAAATCATAGTATTCATACATGCATTTAGAGCAGCAAAATTTCTTACCATCATTTTTATCAGGACTATAATGATATTGACCCGTAATGGGTTTTAGACATTGATCGCAGAGAGTCATGGCTATTTGTTTAAATCCTTAGCAGGAGTTTCGATTTGGGCTTTGGTAGAACTTTCTTCTTGCGGATCATTGTGCATTGGTACTAATTCTATTGATGAATCATTTTGACCATTATTGGAAGTATTTATTGGTTGGTTTTGAATTTGACTATTACTTAGTGAGCGACTTTTTCTCCTTTCTGTTTCTTTTTTATATTGTTTTCAAGCCAGTCAAGAACCGAAAGCTGTCAAGGAAAATCCAGGGATACCAAGTCCAAGTCCAGTACCTAAGGCAATTTTATTAGAGGTACTAAGTCCGTTATCACTATTAGAATTATTATCAGGAGAAGTAAGTGAAGTGCCAAGAGTAGTTAGAGTAGAGGTTGAATTGGAACTGTTGTCAGAAGTTTTAAAAGGATAGGGATTAAGGGAATCAGAACCCGGTCAAGTTGCTGGTCATTGCAAATAACAACTGGGAATAGTTCATGATTTATTAAGTGGTGCATTAAGACCATTTGATGGATCTCCATTACGACAAGTTCATCCTCCATTATCTCAACTACAGTAAAGTCCGGCACTGCCAATATCACTATCATTAAGTGAAAAATTGTATCGTGCATAACTCCTGCTTAAACCAGTAAGATTAACAGTACTCAAATGATTAACTAATAAACTGGAATTGTCATAAGAAGAGCAATTTCCTCAAACCTTATTCTTAGTAATTGGAGAATTCCCAGCAACACCTCCGCACAAACCTCTATACTCTAAGCAAAATGCTTTTTGGTCAATTCTATTACATAAATAAACGCCACTTCCATTAGTACAAGGCTGACCCTCTTCTCGTGCATAAGTAACGCAACCATTTTTTTTTGCACAACAAGTTCACTTTACTTTGCTATCTAGAGACTGGTCGCTATTCAGAGGAGTAAAATCATCATCACTACCTCACCCATAAACATCCACTGCACAATTCTTAAAAGCCTGCCCAGCTTTTACTCTTTCCACTCCGGCTAAACCCACTAACAACAAACTCATCATTTTTTTCTTAGTCCAAGTAGTAGGTAAATTTAACTTATTTATTTGATTATTATTTAGATTATTTTCTTTCATATGATTTAAATATTTATCCGGAATCTTCCGGAAAAAGAAAAGAAATTAATAAAGAAAAAACATAAAAAATCCCCCTTTTATTAGTGAAATTATTGGCAAAAAGATTAGAGGTTAAAAATTGCTCTCTGTTCCTTCGGACAAGAGAATAATCAAAGATTATTTCTTTCTGCTCTCTCTCTCTCTCTCTCTGTTATAGGGGAGTTTAGGGAGTTGTTTCATGTCATATATATTAATATTTTACACCTCCATATAGAAACTGTATTTAGATTTTGTCATAAAATTATAATATAGATAAAAAGCGAAAAGAATGTTATAGTTTACTTTACTAAGTGAACTGAAAAGTAGTCAAGGTCTAAACTCCTTGATTATTAAGGGCTTTTGAAAAAAAACTTCTGTTAATTTTAGCAAATAAACTTGTAAAACTTTTTTATATATGTCTTATGACTTAATTATTATTGGTGCCGGACCAGCG